TAAATTATATTTAGTTTTATATTAATTTGTATTTGAATACATTCACGAGCAATATCAATCTACATTTTAAAATTTGGTATACATAATATTAGTTTTAAATTACAGAAACTAATCCTGATTTAAAATTTATGTATATGGTTATCAAAACACAGTTTTTTAAAGTATAAAATTGTTTGTTTCTATTTACATTGTGATTTTATCATGTAAAACATCTGTTTAAAAGAACTGAAAAATATTAGTAGTATCTTTTTCGGATCCTATATAGAACGTTTCTCATCTAGAATAGTTTTGTTTATTGCTTTTCCGTTGGAAGTGGCGGTGAAAAAAGTTCCCAATATCATTGCAATAAATTTGGCATACACTTTTATTCTCTTCTCCAGGGAAAACTAAGTTGGACTGAAAGATATACAAAACCATCAATTATTTCTTTGCGCTTTTCGTTGTTAACTTATTTATTTCCATTTCAATTTTATAAAAATTATATTTTTTGATTAATAGCTTTATTTATCACTGATGAAAGTAGTACTCGTGATTGTTGAACGTAAATATATATTTTTTGTTAGATTTTACCGAAATTTAGAATTTAGATAAAATGTATGTTTTTAATGTATGAATCTCGGAAAATGTAACTTATTGCTTTATTAGTTTTAAATTATTCTGTATTTAATTAAATTGGATTAACTTAACTTTTTTTATCATTTTCTGCTTAAGTTATTTTGTTAGTGATCCTAAAGTTTTATGTCTTTATTTCTAATGTATATATATTTTTTAAACATTTAATTAATTATGTATCTAATACATAATTTTTGATAGACCTAATATTATTAAAAATTGTTCAAGATGTTTGTTTTGATTTTTTAACTATCCGTGTGTCGAACCTAATAGTTTATACTAAGCTTCTAAAAAAAAAAAACAAAAAACTATCTGTGTATTATTTTGTTACGTGATTGTATGTACAAGCTAAACTAATGGTAGGTAGTATATATGTAATATAAACTTTCATCAATTCATATCTGCAGTATTTTTGACCTTGTTTTTTAAGTCTTTTTGTCATTTTATTATTATTATTATTATTATTGTTATTTTGTTTATTAAAAAACTATTTAACTCAATATATATTTGAATATATTTGGTGATTGTTTTGTATTTTTTATGGTTGAACGATATTTATAATTTCCTGGATAAATTTATTTCCCTGATTTATTAGTTTACTGAAATAATACAAAGATTACAAAAAATTGGTTTTGAATTTAAATAGTATAGCAGTGTGTAAAAAATTGCTATTGTATCTCAATTTTTAGGGTGTCAGCTGGTAGATGCATATTAATTAAATTGTTTAACAGTTTGCCTGACTGTTGTTTTTGGTACACCAATAATAGGAAACTCTAAAGACCCCATCAACCCAAGAACATAATGGTTTTGATGTATTAATGGCTTGGATGTATTATTATTTTGTGCAAAGTTTTTAGACATGGACTACCGGGCTTCATTGTTATATAAAAAAGTAACCGCAACTTTAGACATTAGATGTTCTTTATGAAATAATAATCAATTTTGTTATTTATTTAATTTTTGAAACTGCGCTTATCAGGGAAATATCGTGATCAAACATTTTTTTTTTTTTATATAATTTATTACCGTAAAAACTAGGAAATATTTGCTTTATCCATATATATCTAAAAGTTTTAAGAAATAAATTGATAGATTTGTATTGTATAATTTATCTCTCTAATATTATCCTATTGCTTTAATCCTTTATGTTAAATATTTAATTTTTTGAAAAGAAAATTCAAATGAGAATTACATTGACTTTTAAACTTTCCATTTGCGAGATAGTTTATATAATTGTACGAATTATTTATAAGTAGCCAAATAATCGTGTTTTAGTATACATAACTAAATATTTCAAACTTGGTAATTCATTTTTAATTTTTAGTTAATTAAATATTCAAAAAAACTTGATTTAATAATGTTTTAAGTTGTATTATTAATTATTTTGATTGCTTAGTTAATTTGTCAATTTATCATCGTTGTTTGTACATAATTTAAATTTCTATTACATATAATACCATATTTTATATAATTTCGAATATGCCTACGACTGAATTTATGTTTTTGTACTCTTTGGATTAATGTAAAATTTAGAGTTTTTACGGTAGGACAATAAAAATGGAATACAACCTGATATTTATAGTATAACTTGGTGGTGCATTATTATATTTGTGAAGTGATATATAGAACATTCTAGTTCTATGTTTATCGTATTTCAGTATTAGTATTTTCATTACTCTTTTTTTTATCTATGAGTATTTTTTAGTTAATAAATGTATTCGTTTGAGCAATTCAATTACTGAGTAATTCTCAACTGTAATATTTTTCCGTTGAATGACATCGGTACATTATTAAATATTTCCCAAGAATCATTAAAAAAACATGAAATGGGGTAGCTTAATTAATAAATCGAAACATTTAATCTCCTTCGTAATAAAAATAACGCAATCACCTTTGCAATCAACTTACCTTTCAGCAAGTTCCAATTAGCTTACTCAAAATCCGTATTTTTAATCGAGCTCGTATTTTCGATTAAAATTACGTTTAAGTTTATAGGTTATATTATTGCTTAGAAATAAAAATGCCTAAAGGAGAAAGAAAATATACACGTATGTCACCTTACTGCATGAGCGAGCAAATGAGATGTACCGCACCGGGTGTGTTTTGGTCCCTTGATAACTTGCGTCCCCTAGGGATTTTAGACATGGAGAACTCGTAACCATGTACACCCATGTTCGTAAATCCAGACAAATCGGTAGCGATTGTAATCTTCTTGAATGCACAAATCAATACATTTGGCGCATTTGTAGAAACATATTATGGTTTGTTATTTCATATATCTTGTCGATCAGCATATGTCGTTGCAATTTGTCTGTCCTAAATTTATAATATTTTTCATTTAAAATATCGTTCTAGAAAATACTTAGATTAGCTGTTTGCTTGTGATAGATTAGATTCATCGTACCATAAGTTTTTATTTTCTACGTCATGGAAACTTTGTATGGTAATAATTGAATTTTGCGTGTTGATATTCTTAAACTTTTTAACAATTTTTAGAAGGCCCATTACAATATTATGTAGTTCTTTATTTAATTCTTTATATTTTAATTGGTATCGTTATGATCATAGTAAGTTTATATGGTTCTTTAAATAAAAAAATATTTTTTAATTATTTATAATGTTACCAATTAAACTCTTTAATTTTAAAACCTTATTTTATTTTAATACTTGAAACTCTTTAATCCATTGTGAGGGATTGAGTTATGTAAGCACTTACTTTGTTAAAACATAAAAGACAATTTAATTTTAATTTAATAATATCTGCAAATATTTCCTTTTATGAACTATAGATATTTTGTATTTGTATTGATTTATTTAAGTATACTTTTATATTTAAATAACATACTTGTCTATAAAACTTCATTGTGAAAATAAGTTATATACGTTTATGTGATTTTTTTACGTCATATAACAATTGTTTTGTCTTAATTTGTCATTAAATTATATAAATATAATATATAATAGTAATATATTATAATATTATATATATATGTATTGTATTGTATATAAAGATTGTACAGTCACAACTATTTTTAAATTAAATTATTTTGCAGTGAACGTCAAGCTTCATCGATAAAACTCATTTACATTACAGACTTTTTTGTTTCAACCACATAGTTTTCAACTTAAAAATGTAATATAATTTCGTTTTTGATTACGAAGTCAAAGGTCTTTATAGTCCGTAAACTCTTCTGTATGGCAAATATAGTTTATTAAATTTCACAAATTGTTTTATATCAAGAAAATTATTTATTTAAATTATATTTAAATTCTTGAAAAATAATTATATTACTTATATAATTTAATCAAGCTTCGTGTCCTTATTTGAAAAATATTCGTAAAACGTAAATAAATCATTCATATATTTACATGCACGAGAAGTTCTTCCTTTAATTTTAATAAATAGAGTAGGTATTGTAGATTATTGATTACATTTTATATTTTAAATATTTTAACCATTAAATAATTTATTTTGAATTAATTATAATTTTTTTTTTTTTTACCACTTATCGAGAATTATAATTATAATATAATTATTTAGAATCCATTTAATAAATAATATTTTAGATGCTTGTAGTTTTTTTATGATTATTTGAGGAGAATTAATGTTTACACGGTTCACTCAGAGTCCGCGGTTCAGATGCAAAAAAAAAGTTTTTATGATGATTTATCTTACACTAGTACGTCCATAAAAATTATGTTATGTAGTGTATTAAAATTTTATTTTTTTCGTAAACTAGTAAGTTATTCATAAATATTAGATTACCATATCTAATATATTTATCTACTTTTGTTGTGTGTATTTATTATGTTTAATTTTCATATTTTTATACTATTTCAAATCAAATATTATGTTAGTTTATTTTTGCTTTTTTATTGAATTAAAAATTAAGCATCTATTTCAAGTAGTTCTAATCCATCATAGTTTGTAGAACATTTTTTTTTTAATTTTTATTATTGTATTGGTATTAGTTCATATTTTACTTTAATCAATTTAAGTTTGAATTTTAATTGAGTAGTGTACACTTCAAGTTGTAGTAATACGTATTTTACCATATTCATTTTGATCAATAAACTTTAAAATATATGACCGTACTTGATATTGTTTGTTTACCGTTATTTTGTTGGAAATATATGTTCATTTCAATAACATAATATTAAATAAAAAAATGAAAAATCCAAGAAAGATTTAAATCTTTACCAAATAGTAATAAACATTTTTTTTTTATTTTAGACTAGAAAATACATTTTTTGAAGATATATACTCGTATTCTGAAATATATTTTATGATTTTTTTCAAATATAAAAGTTTTATTTCTAGGTTTTAAAAAGAACTATATAACATATTTCATAACCTGTATATTAATTTCATGTATATTTTTTTATAGCTATTTCAAAAGAAGATCCTGACCGAAATAGAACTTCTCGAGATGCGTTGCCATGTAAATTACAATTCAATGGTTATTCTGAAGAGTTCCTGGATAGAATTGAACCAAATGGGAACATACCTTGCGCCAACGATGAACATTTGTCCAGATACGGTAATGTATAATATGAATATTTTATTTTATTTAGTGATCTGTCGATTCAGAAATAATTTTTAAATATTGAAATTACTTTATTGGTTTTGTGATAATGTAATTTTTAACTAACCTTATTAATTGATTTTTTTTGTAATTTTTTTGATATTAATTAGATCTAAATTTAGATTTAATCGTTATTATAATAGCTTTGAAAAATTGTTCAAATCATTAATTAATTTTACTTTTAAATTTATATTAAAAAAATGTAGATTTTCACTTACAATATATAATAATGTTTAGATACAATTGAATATTATAATGGAGTATATAAACTACCTTTATGGATGTATTTTTATCTACAGTTTTATTATTGGCTTCGTAGGATAAAAGGTTTTTTTCTCAAAAAGATTCAGAAGAATAAAAAAGAAAAAAGCAATATTCAGTACTCCATAAAATCTCATCGTTAAAAAGAAGGGGTGTGAACATGTATAGAAATCTTATTTTTGTTCTTTTCGTGGGATTTTTCCGAACTTTAAAAAAGCTTTTAATAAAATCAATATTGATTCTAGTTTATGCCTTAAATAATAATTTAATATCTACTAATTTGCCCAAATATATCTATATATATGATCTAGATATAAAATAAAATGTGTATCTTTATATGTTTAGCCGGTTAGCTTTAAATTAATAATTTATTTAAACATCAACATTTTTAAAATTATAATTCTGTATGTGTAGAGGTATGTTAAGTCCCGACATCCTATGATTTCATTGTTTAGGTTTAAGAAATTACGTCATATCCTGAGTTAAAATAATTCAACTTAATAATATCCCACGCTTCTGTGTGGGATTATATCGGTAACATTTTATAAATAACCTAACTCATGTTTAAAATACTATTCATAATATTTAGTAAATTTAGTACACACTGCATTATACATTACTACTATAATTAATTCAATCATTAAAATATTAAAATAGTATAGATTGCTTCAAAATCATCATTTAAAAATATTTTAATATATTTTAATATAGTTTTAGTTTTATTAAAAAAACAAATTTTGGAATAACATTTTATTGTCTATTCATTTCATCCATTAAATGCATGAATTCAAGGTTGTGTATACGCCCACATTTAAATGAAAATTTTTTTAGAACAAGTATGTGTCTACGCCATTTATATGCATTATTATTGAAAGTCAACACTTTCTTTTTAGACTCAGGTGTATTGAAACTTTTTATTTGATTTTTTAAACTATCAATAAATATTTACTCAAGTCAATAGTACAAATGAAAATCGCAAACCGATAAAATGATTATGAAAACCAAAACGTGAATTACTTCATTAATTCTTGAAGTACAGTTTTTATTGGGCGAGGTATTTTTATGATTATTATTGTTATTATTTCAACTGTTGTTGTATAATAGCTTTTACTTTTGACTTTTTGGCATTAAATAAGCATTTGGATTTTATCCAAGAAAAGCCACGATATCAGGATGGTAATACTTCTAAAACGAAAAGTTATATTTTGTTTTTGTTACCAGTATTTTAAAAGCGTATAATTTAAAAATATATTTTTTAAGTATCTACAAATTGTTTTTAATATTTATTTACATCATGTGAGTTCAATAAAATAATTGGATAATACTGATTTATTAAAATCTGCTATAAAATTCTTAATTATATAATTTTGACTATAAATAGGAAAAACCTTTTATATGGTTTATAATAAATAAAACATAAATTTCATTATATAATATACCTAGTTCGTGTTACGAATAGCTTAACAGATGAGCAAATATTTTATAAATTCGCTTACTTCATAAATTAGAAATTTATTTAAGTATATATGTGGCAATCAAGTATGATACTTAAAAAAATAATGCTGTATTTAGAATGTATCTTTAAATTATTGTTTGGTTAAATATATGAAATCTGTATGCGCTAAGAATATTGTGCAAGTGCTAAAGACATTGCTTTGTGGAATAAGTAAAATAAGATATCTAGAAGCATGCACAAAGTAATCATTGAACCATCATTAACATTTCGTCTTGTATTTGAAATCATTTATTAAATAATATGCTATCCTATAATCAATGCTAACACTTACATTCCTACATACAAATATGTTTGTAATTATAAAGTTGTAACAGAGAAAAAATGGTCCATTGATTTAAACTGTTAATACGACCTATTCTAAAAAAAGAACCAGGTAGGCCATTATGTTAAAGTGATGGTAATGGTGTGGAATTTGTTCCTAAAGGTCGATTCAATAAAATATATTGAAAACATTATTATTTATAGTGATTATAAAACCTTAATCCTCTATTTTGTAGTGAGAATTACTTATGAGTTATATGTTATGATAAAAATAATTTTAATTTGACAAATTATTTGTAACAATATGCTATTAGTTATCTTTGATAGTTATTTGTTACCATACTTAAACCTCTCTCCAAATAAATATAGTTAAATCTGATTTAATTCAGAGGAATATAAACTCGTTTACTGTGCAAATTAAAATATATTCATTTAAAAAATCTACAATTTTATCAGAGATATTATATATGAAATATTTTTACTTTACCTTAAAACTACCCATCAATCAAATTCACTGCGGATGAAATATCGGTATATGGTCGTGAAAATGATCTTTTTATTGCCCTTGAAATTTGAGATGAAGAACTTTTTATCTTTTATATATAATGATATAATATTTCATGTTATGATATTATTCGTTTACTGACCTTTTTTGTTTATTAATTCACTATTATTTATTTTATATTATATTTTATTTTTTAACATCGATGAATTACTTTATAAACAGTTTATATTATCTCTCATTTCTGTTAATATTTATTTTTTAACCAATTAATCATTTAAATAAAAATTCATTATCTTACAATGTTTTTTTTTTTTTTTTTGGTGTAAATTCCTTAACATTTGACATTTATTTTAAATATATGAAATTATCATTTCAGCTAGGTAATTTTTTTTTCTTTCTTCTAATTTACCTTTTGGAGTTATTTATTAAAACAAAATTTAATATAAATATTACTTTTTGCTATTCAACGTAATTTTATAATTACACCAACACATTTGCACATTATTTTTTAAATATTGTATCTATGAATTATCTACGTATTATAAACTTAAAATCGCACTTAACTGCTGATTGTATGTTGTCCAAAACTTTAGAAAGATAAAATTGGTTAATTTCATTAAAATATTTTGTGGATATGACTTTTTTGTTCATTAGATAGTTGATCTCTTTTAGTCGTACATTATTATAATTGTGCTAAGTAAATCTTAAATTGTTGTAAAAAATTGGCTAATTATTATTTTGTATTTAAAAATTCTTGATAGTGTGAAAAAAATTGAGAATTTTTTTACTAAAGAGTGGTCAGTTATTGTTATCTGTACTTTTTTTTCTTTTTTTCTTTATAAATTAATAAAAACATTTGTGAAATAAATTAGCTAAATATTACACAAATAAAACAGTAATAATTTCAAAAATTACTGAATTTGTTTCATATTTATATTTAAAACCAATTGTGTTTTTATTTAAAGTTTTGTCCTGATCACACAATTTTTAATTATTTGTTGATTATGTATAATAGTATACATAAATACAGATTTTAGTTCAAAAAATATAAATATATATGATGTGGCCCTCGTTGGATTTTCCAAAAATTAAATGCAGCCTTTTGTTTTTAAAACATTTATTTTATTATTATATTACGAGATTACTTGCGTTTTTACTTGCAACATTATCCCACTTTAATTTACCAGAAGTAGAAAAAGTGAACCCACCAAAATAACATTACGGACATTCATTAAATATCTGCCTGTGTACTTGTAAGCGTTAAGTGGTTTTGTCACAACTTTAGTGCTGTGATGTTTGGCAGTTTTATTTATACATAGTAAGTTTTTATTTTGATTGCTGGCGAGAAAAAATTAAATAATTTACATTGCTTCTATCATCTATACCCATCGATCAATATTTTCTTATTGTGTTTTTTTTTTTTAGTTCTTTGTTTTATACTATTGTTTTACTGTTTTATGATGAAAACGAGAGTGTTATTTTTTTTTTCAATTAAATGAATTCTCGGGAAAAATCGTAGGTATGAATTCAAAAGATGTAATATAACAATGTATAACTAGTTTGATGACTAAACTAGGTATGCATTCGAGTGAATTCTAATGCTATGTCTTATTAATTTGATTATTTATATAATTAATTTAACTATATAAACATTACAAAGTTGTATTAAATAAAATTAATTGAGTATTTTAATGAATTCATCTATACGCACTTAGCTTGATAATTAATAACTGATATTTATATTAGAAAACCCTTACATTTACATAAGAATTTCAATTCGTTATTTTTCCATCTATCCATATACCTACATATAATAAGTTATATAAACGCACTTACTTATTTCATTCAATACATTTTTTATAAAAGTAATTAATAGAAAATAGAAAATTATAATTTATGTTAAAATTACAATTAAATCATAATAGTTTTTTTATTGTCCAAAAATATTTACCGAAGGGACTTGAAATATAAACTGGATATGTATATTAGCTTAATATAAATATATATATATGTTAAGCCCGGTTTACATACAAGGACTTATTGTACGTTTTGCTGGCCATATAAAATAAATAACAAGACGTACATTTTATAATGTGTCTACATGTTTCAACTTTTACTTAGTTTTCCATCCCAGTTTCAACTGTATTTCTGTTCATTCTTCAATAGTGTTAAGTTATTTTAGTGATGTTTGACGATATGGAAGAAGCACTATTGTGGTTTACCATAATGTTCCTAGTACGTGTGCAACAGAATTTCGTATACCAGACATGTTTGCAAGAATACAAAAAAATACCATGCGAATCAAATTTTATATTATTTATTAAATATTATAAGTTAAAATACTTACTAATAGTAGGTTCTACTATAATATATTATAATATTATGATATTATTATATTATAGAGTCAGTAAA